GGGTGGGGGGCCAGCGTGATGGGGCAGGCAGCCAGCACCGTGGCCCTTCGCAGGGTGGGGACTCAGGGAGGGGCCCGTATCCTGGGGCGGGGGATCCCTGAGCCTGGGGGCCACCGAGCACCCCTGTAGGGAGGGGTGGGGGAGGCTGAGTGGTTGTGTGTTAACCTGAAGGAGACTCCCTTGTGCATCCCAGGGTCCCAAAGGAGACAGCATTAGAGGCCAGCCTGGCCCCCCAGGGCCTCAGGGCCCCCCTGGCATTGGGTACGAGGGGCGGCAGGGCCCCCCTGGCCCACCTGGGCCCCCTGGGCCCCCCTCCTTTCCAGGACCCCACAGACAAAGTGAGTATGTGCCCAGAGAGTCATTTCTGTGCCCCTCCCGCACACTTCTGCCCTGCATCTCCCCCTCTCCCCACTCCCTGGCCAGGCCTGAGGCCTGTCCGGTTGCCAGAGGGCGAGACGCCCGATTCCCAGCCCCTTCTTCCTTTCCAGCGCTCCACATCCCTGGCCCACCTGGGCCGCCAGGGCCACCGGGACCGCCAGGGACCAGCGGGGCGTCGGCCTTCTCCGGGGTAAGGCAGCGAGCGGTCCGCTCAGGGCCTGGCTGGGGGCAGAGGGGGCAGTGCTGTGGGGACAGTGCCTGGGAAGGGAATTGCACTGCCCCACAGATTTCTGAATTGGAAATTGGCAGAGCCAAGTGTTTCCTGAGGTAGGGGCCTGTGGAACTCCTGGCCACAAGGTCTTGCAGAGCCAGCGACGCGTGGTTACCACGGCAACACGCCAGCAAAGGGCCTCAGCCCTGGTGCCGCCACGTCCTTGGGCGCAGGAAGGGGCCGTTCTCGGAGGCAGAATCGTCCCCAGGAGTTTCACGCCGCCCCGAGGCCTGTGGGCTGGAGTCCGTGCAGCGGAGCCGGAGGCCGCTGGGCGAGGCCATGTGCCCGCTGCTGAGCCTGCGCTGCGAGAGCCGTTCCACAGTGCCCGCGGGGCCTGACTGAGCCTGGCTGCCCCTGGCAGCCTACCAGGCCATGCTGAGCGCCGCCCCGGAGGTGCCCGAGGGCGGGCTGGTCTTCCTGCAGGACAGAGAGGAGCTGTACGTCCGCGTGCGCGGCGGCTTTCGCAGGGTCCGGGTGAGTCCGCCAGCGCCACAAGGGCAGGCTGCTCCCC